TTTTCTTTCATAGGCACGGCTCCATGGCCCTAAAGATTCCAGCTTCAATAAAAAATATCAGTAGATTGTTATACCCAAAAAATATCCAAGTAAAACAGCCACTATTCAGGATATTTTATTTTTATAATTGGAACCTCACAAATATTAAGTAAACAGTGTTATGAGCTAAAAAGTCAAGTAAGAATAAACTAACCACAATGTTGCATGTTGAGTTTCTTTTACTGCTAGCGTATATATGATGTGAGATGCTGCCATGAATAATCTGCCACTTAATATTACCAAGGACTGCATATCTCTAGGAAATTAAATTAACTAGATAATTTATTAAGATTCACTGTCTCATGATATACACTGGTAGAGTGCTATAGGTATTCTTCACTATATACAACCTGGTCTTCTATATAAATGTTTCTTGGCTTTCAAATTTTTCAAACTGGTTTTTACACTAAAGGTAATACATGTCCAGAGTAAAAAAAAGAAAAAAGAAAAAGTCAAACAATGAAAAAAGGTACAGAATGAAAAGTAAAAGTATCCTTTATTCCATACTATTCCTACTAGATTAGCCACTAAGAAATCAAACTCTAACAGACTTTTCTGGTGGTCTAGTGGGTAAGACTCTGTGCTGTCAATGTAGAATATGCCATGTTGTGTAGCCAAAAAATTTAAAAAAAAAAATCAAACTCTATTGTAAATGTCTGGTGGGAGCCTTCAATAGTCATTGTCTGTGCATGCGTGCTAAGTCACTTCAGTAGTGCCAGACTCTTTGCAACCCTATGGACTGTAGTCCACCAGGCTCCTCTGCCCTGGGATTCTCCAGGAAAGAACACTGGAGTGGGTTGCCATGCCCTCCTCCAGGGGATCTTCCCGACTCAGGTGTTGAGCCCGAGTCTCTTATGTCTCCTGCACTGGAGGCAGGTTCTATGCTTTACAGCAAAATACAGTTTCATCATGTAAATTCCCTTCCACAGTCATCAGCTTATATTTTTTATATTCAGTAAGAGGTTTCTTAAGTGATGCATACCTGTACAGCTCCATTTTAAGGGTTGCTGAGTTATTCAAGAATACTGCAAGATAAACAATTCTGGCATCAAAGTATCTGGCAGTCATGGCTTTTGGAACTCCTAGTTCATGAGATCATTTCAATATATATCCCTGGGCCACATACTGTCTCCTGTGCCTTAAGTAACCTGTAGTTCTGTTTCAATCAAAGGATAAGGATATTTTTAGTCAAATTCTTTTGAATCCCTCTCCCAAATGTGCCTGCTTATATGTCATACAGATTAGAATTCTTTAAGACTGATCAACAGTTAGTTTACATGTCAATATTTATTCTTCTAATAATGTCAATAATAAATGACATTATTCTATTTAATCTACATCAATATAAAAAGGACCAAATGTTTAAGCATTTTTGAAACTGTGCTACTTAGGTTCTGGGTTTGTTTTTTTAAGGTTCCCCTTGTATGATTTATTCTTATGAAGGCACAGTCTAAGAAAAGGTGGTCCCAGAGAGCTAGAATTTCTAAAATTTTAAAAATGTTTTTGATTTTAAATAAATACAGAAATCTTAAAATTTTAAGTTGTCTAACTACTATATAAGTATGTTCTTACAAAGACCTTTTTGTGTCTGTGTCATGTCCAACTCTGACCCCATAGACTTTAGCCATAGCCATGCTCTTCTGTCCGTGAGATTTTTTCAGCAAGAATACTGAAGCAGGTTGCCATTTACTCCTCCAGGGGATCTTCCCAACCCAGGGATCAAACCCGAGTCTCCTGTGTCTCCTGCACTGGCAGGCAGATTCTTTGCAACTGAGCCACCTGAAAAGCCCTTTGTGCCTATTTAACAATAAAATATTTGTATTTGCTTTTCTATCTTAAAAAAAAAAAAAAGGTAACTCTGGAAAGGTTACCTCTGGAAACCATATAATAAGATGAACTTAACTATATTTAAAGTTTTCATATACTAACAAAGTAGAAATTATTTACATATAAGCAATAACTACAAAGTCACCATACGGCAGAAACATGCACACCAAAGCCAAAACTATTTTCAATATTCATTTTGAAACCTCAGGTAACTTAGAAATCTTTTACAAATCAAAGTATTTGTAACTCAGGCCCAAATATCTCATTTTCCAGGCCACTTCCAAAGATTTCAACTTAAAACTAACTACAAGAAGGAAACAAGCATAGCTAGTTTTTCATGAATAACTAACCTCATTTTATGTTGACTCAGTTCAGTTCCCACATTTAGAATAGGTTTTATCTAGGAAGTTAGTATACCATAATAGTCAAATATCAGCATAGACATGGGAATGACAATAGGACATATATTATGAGATACTATATAAAAAGATGATTACTAATCCATCGTTTCTCACCCAACCAAGGATCTCATTTATACAAACTTCCCAACTTATCCTTGCATCAATTTTTCTCTACTGGACTGTGTCATCAACATTATAAACACTTTAATAATTCTCATTTTAAATTGATACCATATTCCCATTGCCCTATTTCCTTGATTTATAGCAACATTTCTCCCCAAAAAAACTGTCTATATTCACTATCTTCATTTCCCTCCTTGATTCTTTCTTGAACTCACTCCAACTGTGCTTTCATCCCTAACACTCCACAGAAATTGTTCTTACTAAAATAACCAGCAATCTCCACAGTATCCAATTATCAATTATCAGTCTTCATCTTATTTGACCTACTGGCAGAATTTGACACACCTGATCATCTTCTCCTCCCTGACACATTTTCATCCTTTTACTTCCCAGAAACATCACTCACTCTTGGTTTTCCTCCTTCTTCCCTGGTCCTCCTTCAAAATCTCCTTTGCAAATATTCATCTTCATCCTGACCTCTAAATAAAGATGGCTTGCCTAAGGGCTTAGTCTTTGAACTTCTATTTTACTCCCTAGGCAACTACAGTCCAATTAGAGTTTAAGTGTAATAAGTTACACACTTACCTGTGTTAAGTGTGATACACCAACACAGCCTAGCCCTTCTTCCCTGTACTCCAGATTCACATAGTTAGCTGCCCATTTGAAATCCCCACCTGGATACCTAGTAGGCATCTCAACATTAACACAGGGAGAATAAAATGATAGATTCTATACAAACACTTAAAATTCCACTCCCCACCTCCACCCTTGTTTTTTCCTTTAATTAATACAAACACAATTCCATCCTTTCAATTTCACAAGCCAAAACTTAAGTCATCTATCTATGACTTTTTCTTCTATTTTATTGGCCCTACCTTCAAAAATACCCAGAATATACTGCTTCTTATCACCTCCACCACTAGCTCCCAGCCAAAGCCATTATGTCATCTCTTTTTGGTACTAGAGTAATAAGCCTCCTAAACAGATTCCTTTCCTCCACAAAACAAAAAGTCCAGACCACAGCAAAGAGTAATCCTCTGCAAACCTAAGTCAGATGGTATTACTTTTCTGCTCAAAGCTTCTCCTTACTTGCCATACAACTTGGAATGAAAACCAAAGCTTTCATGATCTCCCACGAAGCCTCCTCACAATCAAACCCCCACTGCCGATCTCAGCCACTACTCTTCCCCACACACATGCCTCTCCAGCTACACTGGCCTTGCTTTTCCTCAAACACACTAAGCACATTCTGTCCCAGAGCCTCTGTCCTTGCTGCTTCTCAACCTGAACTCTTTCCTGGGTATCTGCATAACTCCTCTCTCACATCATTTAGGCTCAATTGCTACTTAACAGGGAGAGTTTTTCTTATTATTCTATATAAACTAGCAACTCCCAACCCATGCAGTCACTCTCAATCCTCTTATCTGCTTTATTTTTCTTAGCGCCCAACAGCACTTGACACAGAATTATTATTACTGACTGCATTCCCCAAACACTAAAAGGCAAGCACTATGAGTAGTGATTTCAATTTATTCAAAGAGCAGCACAAAGAAGAGCATCTAGCATTTAGCCTGATAAACATCTGCTGAATGACAAAATGAGTAACAGCAAGTCACTATGCTAAAAGTTTTATAAAGATTAGCTCATTTAATCGTTAGAAAAACCATATGAAGGTAATATCATGATTCTAACTTTACCAATAAGACAAAGGCACAAGAGATTAAATAACTTGTATGTCACACAGTTGGTAAGTAGTGTAGTCAACTTCTGAATCTTTTAAATGAAATCAAGTTAGATCTCATTTAACTAAATGTTTGGCACATAAAATATGCAACATTTATGTAATACTTATTATGTGCCCAACATTAATGTAAGTTCTGTATGTGTATTTACTTGTTAATTCTCATAGTGTTTAATGAGTGGTTACTATTATTATTTTCACTATTTATTATTTATCAAGTTACCAACCTGAATTTGAGAAGCCACATAAAAGATGCTGCTGTGAGAGAAATAGCAGAAACTCCAACATTTACCAAATCAAAATTAACTGAATTCATACCAAACAAACAGTTAACTGTGTTTGTTAGCTTGTAATTCTCAAAAAGTCCTCTAACACAGACAATAGATTGCCTTCTAATAGGCAACAGACTGCCTTCATTTAAAAAAAAAATCTACCCATCCTCTAAAATCCTGGCTGCTATTCCATATTGCACCACATTATGTTTAATACACTTTTATTTGTAAGTTTAAAATTATGTGATTAAAGTAGGTCTTCTTAATGTTTAAAATAGAACTTACTCATTTATACCAAATACTATTGCAATCACCAAGGTTATCTAATGTTTAAACTGTTTCAACTAATGTTTAACTGTTTTAAAAGTCAGTTTTATTACCAAAAATAAAATTTGAAACTTCTGCATCTGAGAAAATAGCCAATTCCTTTATCCTTGAGTTAAAGTGAAAGCCACAGCAATCATGAAATTTAGTGACTATAACGTCTTCGTTTCAACACAGCATTTGATTTTTAATTTTTAATTCAATCAATAGATATTCATCCTTTATTAATAATCAACACATGAAAGATTATGGGTAAAGACCCTTAAAACTTACGGTGCAATAATGGCTCTAGCAGGTCTTTTTGTAGACTGCACTTGTGAAAGCCAACCTTCTAGCTGGGCATTCAGCTGCGGTCCTATAAAGAGAGAAAGAGGGAAACTGCAGTGAGCAAAGCAATACAGTACCAATAACCATGCACGACACAAAGTCCTCACTGAACTTATTTGGGACTAACACAGCTTAATGGGCAGTGGATCATCATTTTAGATGTTAATATCTGAAACTTAACCAATTATAAGTTTCCAGGAGCAAGCCATATGATAAAGACAAGTACTGATTAAACAAAATTTGCTTTAATCCACCAGTTTATTTATTTACAACCATCTTTGTTCGAGAACAACACCTCCTCCTCAATCCAAGGTACTGATCAAACAAAATAAAACAACAAACAGAAAACAACAGTATATGAAAAGAAAATAACTGAATATTTCTGGAGCACCAAAACTTGCCTTAATCACTAAAATCACATCCATAGTGTGATCATTACAATACTCAATGACTGTTTCTGCCATCCACGCCAGCCCCTATTCTCGTATCATATCAATAACCAGGAACTATACCACCTCAAAAATCTCAGGTTCAGGCATCCCACTCTCTTTACTTCCTATCATTCCAGTTTACTCTAAAAGTCTGTTGGAGTCATTTTGCCAACAGTCCTTCATCCTCTCTTCTCCACTCCTTATACCTTTCCTGAGATTTGATGATCCATCACTATAATCATTTCCTTGCCTGTGGCCTCCTCCTTTGCTCCCCTCTTCCTCCATCATAGTCAAATCATAATTAAAACCAGCATTCCACCTAACATGGCACCTCCACCTGAATAGCTGAATAAGACTGTAAAGAAATACAATCATAAGAACTTTGAAATTATGTTCATAAATTTCAGTAGACCCTTAGGAGACAAAGCTCAGAAATCATACCACAATAACCTAGTGAATTTGCTCCTCCATCTTTAAGATAAAGAATTACTTCATATAGCTTCTCCTTTTATTTTAAACTGTCATCCCCTCCCCATTCCCAGCAGATGATCAACCTTTTCACTTTGTTAAGGAAAAACAAGCAGCAGCAGAATACCCAACCATCCCGGTTTGCTCAGGACTTAGCCAGTTTTAGCATTGGAAGTCTGGTGTCCTGGGAACTCTCTAAGTCCCAGGCAAACCTGAATGTTAGTCACCCTAAACTCAGAAGAGAACTACTTCCTCTTCCTCTTTTCCTGCTCCTATCAAAAGAAAAACAAACTACTTCTGCACTGGGTCCCAATTTGTCTTCCTTATTCAAAGACTCTGCTCTCCCAACTACCCTTTTCTCCGGCCCTAACTTGTCCCTTTGTATGAGATCATTATAATCGGCATGCAAATTTAAATTTTTTTAATTAAGAAAAAGAAACGCTAAACAAGCCTCTAACCAGCAACTCAGGACCATCTTTCTCAAGGACCCAGTAGCCATCTCTTTGAGGTGTGATCATCAAGGACGATAGGAGCCTAACTTCAGAGGGTCACCTAGCCCCAAGTTGCTAAATTACTTCCTATCATAAAAATACATAAGTTTATTTTTCCTTTGGATAAAGCAATTAGCTAATACATTATGATCACCCTGATTACCAAGCGAATTTAGAATGAACTATGTGTGACAAATAGTTGCTGTCAAGTCCTCTTTCTTGAGCACTACTTATTATTTATCCTAAGAATATGCATGTAATGGATTTTATCTGCTTAGCTATATAAAAGGATAAGTGTTCTTTAGGTCTCTGCAATCTCTTAGAAGACAGCTGGTGATGTACATCGTATTCAAGCTTACTACTTGTCAAAAATAAAATTGTTTCCTTTCTCAGAATTTTTATACTTACTGAAAAAGTTCTTAAATTTAGATATGAATTTTCATAGGACTCGTGTTTATGTAAAAACAAAAGCAAAATGAATTCAAAAATCTTTAAAATTTTTTCATATTCACAATCTGATTTCTAAATTTCTTTTTAACTCAGTCATCAATGACTCTGTTTAATATCATCCTCTGTACCATTTAAGGAAGTAGTGATGTGATATTTCTTTTTAAAATGCTCCTCTACTGCCTCAGAATTCTCCTTCAAGCAACTGAAACACATTGTTCAAGTTGTGATGCTACACCTTTCCTGATGTTACCAAACCAAAAGGTATCACCAGAAAGTGCAACAGGTTTCGGAAGACAACACAGGCATGTTCATCTCTTCCTTAAAAGATATGTTACCTGAAACACCAATGGGTAGCATTATCTAGTCATACCAACAGGATTAATTATTGAGTTTGGGTATATATATGTAGGCAGTGATAACCATTTCACAACTGACAATGATTTAAAGATGCCACTGACTGCAAAACACATTTCAATTTCAGAAATATTAAAATCGGGAAATCTACATTTTTAAATCAGTGAAATATAGTAGCACTATGAAAACCACACTCTCCACAATGTTCTGGTATTTTTATTTCAATGGAGAACAGTGAAAAAAATCATCAAGACTAGCATCTGGGAATGCTTCTCACTGTAACCAAAACTGTTTCTCAAAAGGCTTACTGAATATAATCATCTCACTTAATTTAAAAAGTAACATGTCAGCAGTTCTCCCCAAATCCTTTCCCTCCTTACTGTTGCCTTACCTTGATCATATACTTAGAATTTATTGCTATACTTTTTACAAAACTAAGTATCTTATTTTTAGATACATCTCAAGGGGTGCTATTTGTTTTTATGTATCTATGACAAGACTCCTCACACAGAAAATAACATGCCCTTGGGAACACAAGAACTGTCTCAGGGAATCTGACCCCAAGCCCATCCAGAGCAGTACTGCAGCAAACCCGAAACACAGAAACAGTCTTCTCCTTTATACAAACCTCAAACGGTCAGACCAAATCCAAATATCTTGGATTCCGTATTACCCACTAAAATTACAAACATAAGAATTTGTTTATAATTTTTGCTAAATTCTGTAGTTCAGAATACAATTCATCAGGGCAAATAACTATCCAGTGAACAATCTTCAGTGCATACCATCCAACTCACATCTAGCCAAGTGGCTATCACTTAATCACATTCCTGCCCACTCATACAGTCTTTCAAAAATTTTCATATAGTTAATACCAATTCCGTTGGATTTCATACCTAAAAGGGATTCAAAATTTGAAGGATCACAGTGTACTCCTCCCTTGAGGTGATTTACAAAACCATAATCTGAATAATGGGTTCAGCATTGATTCCTTTAAGAGTTTCTTAACTTGGAATCACTATTCTGAATCTATTTATGAACAAATTTCCTATCCCTATCAAATGTTGCCACTGAATTCCTTGAGAGTGCCTGGTTATAGTATCTCACCTCAACTTTTGTTAAACATCAACATATTGATTTATGTCTGCTATTTCTTCATTATAAAAAAAAATATGGGAACACATATAAAGACAAGGGTAAAACAATAATCCTATAATTATAAAAAAACACCAAAATTAATATTTTCCAACTTTCCTGCTAGTCTTTAAAATGATAGATAATTCTGTAAACTGCTTTTATTTAAATAACAGTACATAAGTATTTTCCTATATTACAGACACTTGAACATTTTATAGTTAAATAAGATTTCTTTGTGTAAATGGATCACTGGTTTCCTTAAATATTACTCTAATATGTTTATATTTTTTCCAAGTTTTTGTGCAGTTATAAATAATTCTGTAACACATATCTCTATTTTCATATTTTAAATTATCTCCTTTGGAGATTCTCAGAATGGAATTACTATGTAAATCAATGTGAATCTTTTTAAGATTTCAAAACATGTATTAAAAATGTTATCCAAAATTGCATCCCTTCATAATTATGCACCATGCATGAACACCACCTGTTTTACCATACCCTCACCTCATTTCTCTCATCTGATAAAAATTAAAATTTAATGCCTGACCTCAATTACATTTGACATTTTAAAATAAATCATTCTATTTCTTCAAAGCAATTAAAATGACTAAAATATATATATATATATATATAGTCTCTTAAGATACGTATTTTCTACTCAGACCATGGAATAGCAACATGATTGTTAATAACAGATAACTTGTGACTGGCAGGAATGCTCGAGGTTTAGCAAACAATTACCATCTACTGGCCTGTACAGTCGTTGCTGCTGTTCAGTCACCCAGCTGAGTCCGACTCTTTGCAGCCCCATGGACTGCAGCATGCCAGGCCTCCCTGTCTCTCACCATCTCCCAAAGTGTGCCCAAGTTCACGTTCGTTGCACTGGTGATGCTGTCCAGCCATCTCAACCTCTGACACCCTCTTCTCCTTCTGCTCTTGATCTTTCCCAGCATCAGGGAATTTTCCAATTATTTGTCTGTGCACATCAGATGACCAAAATACTGGAGCTTCAGCATCAGTTGTTACAGTAAATATTCAGGGTTGATCTCCCTTAAGATTGATTGGTTTGATCTCCTTGCTGTCCAAGGGACTTTCAGGAATCTTCTCCAGCACCACAGCTCGAAGGCATCAATTCTTCTGTGCTCCGCCTTCTTTATGGTCCAGCTCTCACATCCGTACGGGCCTACTGGGAAGACCATACCCTTGACTATATCGACCTTGGTCAGCAAAATAATGTCTCTGCTTTTCAAAATACTGTCTAGGTTTGCATTATAACTTGCTTACAGCTATCCTTGGATTTGGGTCAAAGCATCTTCCCACTAGAAATAACTGCCAATGGAGAAAAGTTTGTTAGTTGTATAGTGTCCAGTGAAGAATATTACTGTCTTAATTTTGCAATATACTATGTTTGCTGGTGCTATTTTTATACAGTGAAGCAACAGCCTTGCAGGAGAATAAACAATTTAATAATAAAATATTCAACTTCTTAAAAAAAAAAAATACTGTCTAGGTTTGTCATTGCTTTCCTGCCAAGAAGCAATCATCTTCTGTTTTCAAGGCTGCAGTCACCATCCACAGAGATTTTAGAGCCCAAGAAGAAGAAATCTGTCACTACTTCCACCTTTTCCCCTTCCATCTGCCATCCAGTAACAGGGCTGGATAACACAATCTTAGTTTTTTTAATACTTAGTCTT